TGATGGACTCTACATACTGGAGAATACGGCTGGCCTTCATGTTACAGAGTCTATGAGTCAGTTCAGAAAAAGTAAAATGTATTTGTGGCATTGTCGTCTGGGTCATTTGTCCTTTGAGTCCTTGAAAGTTGTTTTCCCAGAACTGTGTAAGTCAGTGTCTGTTTCTAATTTTTCTTGTCAAACGTGTCAGTTAAGCAAGCATTGTAGAACCCAATTTCCTCAAAGAAACAGTAAATCTGAGTTTCCTTTTCACACTGTGCATTCTGATGTGTGAGGCCCTATTACTTTACCTTCTGAGAGTGGCTACAAGTACTTCATTACCTTCATTGACGATTATTCCAGATACACTTGGGTATATCCAATGCGAACCCGTGAGGAAGTACCAAAAATTATCCAAGATTTTCAGCGGATGGTCTTCACCCAATTTCAGACCGAGATTCAAATATTTCAGTCAGACAATGCAAAAGAGCTTTTTCATAGTGACCTCACGGAGTTCTTTGCTTCACATGGCTCACTTCATCGGAGCTCTTATGCCCGCACGCCACAACAAAATGGTGTGGCTGAACGATTTTGGCTTGAGGCTGTCCTTTGTTCTACATACCTCATTAACCGAATGCCCTCTCGTTGGTTAGGGTACAAAGCCCCACATCAGCTTCTCTTTCCTAAGGCCCCTCTTCTTTCTATTCCTCCTCAAGTTTTTGGTAGTCGGTGCTTTGTCCAAAACCTATCTCCCACCCGTGAGAAATTGGACTCTCGTGCTATCCCGTGCATATTTCTTGGCTACTCATACTCTCAGAAAGGGTATCGTTTCTTTGATCCTGTTTCTCGGAAATTCTATATCTCCATGGATGTTACCTTCTTTGAAGATGAGCCCTTCTTTCCTGTTTCTCCTTAGGGGGAGTGTAGGCATGAGGAGAAACTGGTTCAGAATCCTCCTCTTCCTAATCCTTCTCCTCCTTCCCCTTCTTCTGATCCTCCACCTTTTCGTGTTTTTTCTCGTCGTCGTAAAGGCCAACCAGGTTCAAGAGCTGTGGAGAATCTAGAAGCTGTACCTCAAGTGCCATCAAATTCCTCGGGGGAAGATCATACTCACTCAGGTAACTTGACTCCCAATGATGGTCCTGACCTCCCTGTTATTAATGATCTTGACCTTCCTATTGCCCACAGGAAAGATGTTAGGTCGTGCACCACTAAACACCCCATTTCCAACTTTGTTTCCTATGAGAACATCTCACCTTCATTTCGTTCCTTCCTTACCTCCATTGACAGTATCCCTATTCCCAAGAATGTGGCAGAAGCTCTCTCAGTACCAGAATGGACAAATGCCATGAAGGAAGAAGTTGATGCTCTTCATAAGAATGGCACGTGGGAACTTGTTGATCTCCCTAAGGGAAAGGATCCAGTTGGATGTAAATGGGTGTTCACTGTTAAGCATGGGGCTGATGGAACCGTAGAGAGGTATAAAGCTCGTTTAGTAACAAAGGGTTTTACTCAAGTATATGGAGTTGATTATGCA